CAGAAGGCGACGTCGCAACGGAGCCGCTTACCTCAGAGGAATAAATGACTGTAAAGATTTGGAGCCAGACTTTTATCTGTTTATGGACTGATTGATTTACGCTGTATACTGTGCACGTATGTGTGTGTGTGTGTGTGTGTGTGTGTGTGTGTGTGTGTGTGTGTGTGTGCGCAGATGAAGTTATGGACACGTGGTCGGAGATATGACCGGTAACATGGTCAAGTCTCTGCAACAGGATGTGACAGTGACTCCGACTGTTCCCAACCAGTCTATTTATCTCTGACGTGTCAGCGGGAGATTGATTCAACATCCAAGTGTTGCAATTAACCCCTTCGACGAGCATCAATCACTGTGATGCATAAAAACAGTAATCTAATTAAATACCCAGAGAGAAATGAGGCCATTACTATCTGTCAAGCGTCCACTACTTCCAAATGAGGCTGATCGTCGTCACGTGGCTCGGAGGAAATGAGATTCTCTGTGAATGAATTGTGCTGAATGGAATAAGGAGAAACAGAAACGAGGATGATTTGGAAAAACTCACATTTTTAACTTCACAAACTGTGTTTTTGTTGGTTTATTTGTTCGTTATTGAGCAAAATTATACAAAAACTGCTGAAAAGACATCGTGAAACGTGAGGAAATGAAGACGTATGGGTGCAGGAGCAGACTGGACTCAATCCAAGAGGCTGAATAAATCAAATAAACTAAGGTGCAGGAATAAACAGACGGAACTTGAACTGTTCGGGGAGACCGAGGCAGGATCAGGAACACAGACAGACGGGGACAAAGCAGACGACTCTGCAAAGACAGAAATGAGGACTTGACTTATATACAAACTTAACTGATGACAAACTGGATTCAGGTGGAAAAGACCGAGCGGGTGAAACTAATCAAGGCCGAGCAGCGAGAGAAACACAAAGACAGGAAGTGATGTGAGACACATGAGGGGGGATCAGAAGTACAAAATAAAAACAGGAAACACTGAAATAAATGGATGTTGATGATGTCATGTTGAGGGGACTGATATTCATGTGTTCCAGTTTGTTTCTCCGCAGGATTTCACAAAAACTGCAGAACGGATTTTCATGAAACTTGAGAGTGTTCTTGCTTTTTGGACATTTTCACTTGATTTCCAGGGAATCATTTATTTAAAAAGGCTTTCACTATAAAAAAAAAAAAAAAGCAGCAGACATTTTCATTGTCATTTATCATAATGCACAAACTCTTCACATCATGTCTCATCTATTGTTTGAGAGCAGGCAATTTTCAGTGGATGTGTTTTTCAACTTTATAAAGTTAACAAGGGCCTCTGCAGGAAGCTGATGATGATGTGTGGAGGCGGTGAAAGCAAATTGCTTGATTGGTTATTGTTTTATCAGGACTAACTTTACTGTATTACTGAGGCACACCACCCTGTTGCGGGCGTCCAAGTTTTCAGTAAAATGAATATAAAGCTTCAGTTTAACAAAGCAGAACACGAACGGAAGGGAGGTTGTGTAGTTATTGTTGTTTCATCCCGGATTTCCTGCAAATCCGAGATGGACGTGAGGCAACATCACTGTGGGGAAATTAGAGAAAACTAAATATGTATTGCATCATCGAGCAAACAGGGAACGATGCTGTGCACTTTCCCCTCCTCTTGAAAATCAAATGTTTCTCCTTCTACACAGTCTCTCAACATCCACCGCTGCAGGAAGTCACCTAAGAGCAAACAGCAAGTTATTTTTTATTGCTTTTAATTATGATTCTTGAGCATTTTAAACACTCAAATCTATTCAGAGCTCTGAATATTCGAACACAATTGCAGTTGTGAGGAACCACAACACTCAGCGTGTGTGTGTGTGTGTGTGTGTTCTGCACAACCATCGCTGACTTGAATGGTCACAGAGTTTGCACTTAGTGATCACTTAGTTTCTCCCCACAGTCGTTGATGCCCTTTGTTCAAATGTTGTTTTTATTTTCAGTAAAGTAAGATGTGAAAACTTCCTGATTAAAATGAGATTTTGCATCTATATTGTATGAGACAATTAAAAATTTTGACCTGATGATGAAACCAAATGAAGCTTCAGGGAAACTTGGCAATAAAACATTTTTAATAGTTTGAAACCACAACCTTCACTTCAGGAGCAAAACATTTGATCATTTGATCATTTATCTTGATTATTATTATCGATATCAACTGAAATCAAAATGTTTTTATTGAGATATCTTTTGGTGTTATCGCTCTGCAATGCATGAATATCTGTACGGATATCATGGCAATCAATCCAGATATAAGTACTGTATATTTAATTAATTACAACCCCGGGTACAAGTCCACCGTTCAGTTTTTCATCTTTTAACTGGTTTTCCCCGACGAGTTCCGAGACACTCTCGCTGTGAATAAGCGTCTTGTCCCTCCGCACTATTTGCTGAGCTAAGACCAAGAAAAAGAGGCGTAAAAGGAAGTGTAATTAAGCCAGCAGCAAAAATGGCTACTCAGCTCATGGCCAGTAATTGTGGTCGGGACACTATGACCCTACTCGTGCAGAGTGACTAAGAGGAATGGGGGTGGGGCACCGTATTTGTCCCGAGGGTAAAACACGGCTCCGCTCATGTTAAGAACATATATGTGTGATGGACAGAGCCAGGTCTGTGATGGGATTAGACGCCCGGTCAGTGATGCCATGAAAAGTTTAACTGGTTTAACTTTACTTATAAACTCATGATGTGAAACTTGCCAGGGTGGAGGATTAAAGAAAATCAAATAAGACTGTTTAATTCACTTTCCAAAGGAATATCAGACAAGGCACTTTTATTTATGAGGCACTTTTCTTACAGGGCGGCAGATTCAAGGATTCAGACATCATCAGCTTCAAGTCTGAGTTAGAGAGAGAAAGAGTTTAAAAGAAAAAATTGGTTAAGTAAGTAAATGAATACAAATAAAAATAGAACTGTGTAAGAAAATACAATTGAAGTAGAATAAAATACGAATGACGACCTTGTTCAAAAGATGGAGGCCTTCCTGAGATATGTGATTTATTGCCACTTAAAGGTTTTTGTTAATGTGGATGAGTCTTTAAATAAATAAATATTTTATGTGCTTCTTTAAGACAAAGGCCAAAGTAAAACCTTATCTGTGCATCGCCTGTGTTTTTTTAAAGAGGAATATTGATTAACGTACATATGAAAGTACACATACAGTACATGATCCAAGGTTTACAGCCCTGTGTGTACCTGCTTTCCTCCTTAAGCTGCAGGAACAACCTATTTTCCTGGAATTGACATTTCTATGCAGATGCATTAAGCAGGAAACGGAACTGTGACAGACGCCTCCTGGAGACTCAGGTGCTGATGTAAAACATCTGCAGCGTGTGAACAGAATCCAGCCAGCGACGATGTTTTCCATAAACACGTGGCGGTCAGGGTTGTATGGAAACATAATGTTTAAGAGACAGAGTTGGAATATTTGAATAAAACAAATGTGCAGTTTGACATCTCCTGATTTTCTTTTTTCCAAAATTAAACCGGTCTTTGCTGCGAGTGTGTTTTTAAAAACCTGAACTGTTCGTGATTTAAAAGAGATCCTCAGATTTGGCCTTGCTTCCTCAAACGGATGATGGGTTGTTTCCAAAATCAAAGCAGCAAAACCAGAGGGGTGTCCTGTTATTATTCCTCCTCTTGTCAAAACCCAACACCTGCATGACCGTCAGCAGCTGGACCGATGGACGGAGGGCTGCTTCGTTCGCTTCGTCTTCAATCCGCTCCGAAGCGGATTTCAGAGAAAGATTAAGATTTAATTTCATGTTTCTGTAATTGATGCTGACACGGGTGTGGACAAGTGGGAGCGATGATTCATATGCTGAGGCAACGTCCCACAGTCCGGTACTTATGGTGTTTCATTAGATTTCAGGATGAGTGGATGTGAATCTGTCCGTGTCCAGTGGTCGGTTCATTTGAGGAGCGGCCTCCACAGCGGAGGTCAAAGGGTGAGGAAATTCAAAATCCATTTTTCCAAAGAACCGACCGAACTGAGACGTTTCCATCAGATGACGACATGAATCATTATTTGCAGCATCGTACTGTATAAAACCACAGTCTGTTTTTAAAGATGGACGACGTGATAGCTCCCAAAAAACTGAAGCCAAATCGCATTGATCGCCCCCTGGTGGCTGGCTGCAGTGTAGGTTTTCAATCACACTGGTGTTTGTTCAAATGTTCCACCAAGTTTGGTTTCATTAGTTATTTGATGCTTTAAAAAAATAAGACTCGTTGTGCTGATTGTGGTGTAAATCTTGTGGACATGGTGTGTCTCCTCCCAACTGTGGGCGGAACAACACTGTGTATGTTCCGGTTATGAAAAACAACAAACTCAGAGACCTGCACTGCTTCCATTTCCTTTTTCCCCGACCGTGAAAACCTGCTCAGGAGTTCACGCTGGTGAACAATCGCTTATCGCAGATAGTGATTTTCCACAGCCATTAAATTCATCACTGACCCCCTAAGTCTCAACAATCATGACCTTCCAATAATCAATCCTCCACGGACAGAGCGCTCCATCCGTCCGTCCGTCCGTCCCACGGTGTCGCTCCAGTAGTTTAAAGTGAGTTGAGCTCAGTGCTTCACGCGTGACTTCTTGGCTCCGCTTGCACCTCGAGCCGCTGGCGGGACACCAGACCTCGCGCCCTGGAGGGACAGATGAGATCTCCATCACCGTATCACCATCTCCTCCTCCTCCTCCCCTCATCATCATCATCATCAACTCACTCCCCCCCCCCCCCCCCCCCCCCCCCCCCTCCCTCGCTTTCTGAGGTGTCTGGTGACTCTGGCCCCTCGGTATCTGGCCCCTCCCTTCATCGTGGAGGAGAGGAAGAGAGAGGGAAAAAGAGAGAGGCTGCAGCCCACCACCACCACCACCACCACCATCATCACCATGTCCCCAGAGGCCCCTTGCCTGCCTGCCCCTCCTGCTGCTCAGTACAGCTGTGGCTCAGTACCAGACCCTGACCAGCTGGGATCTCAGCCCTGCCAGGGAGCCACGCGAGGAGAGTGTGAAAGCTCCTCTCTTCTCCCACTCTTCATTAAGTGAACCACACAGACACTTAACTCCAACTGCAGCTGCCAACCACCACCTCTCCGCTTGGTGCTGAGAAGATCCTCTTTTTGAGCATGGCTGTGGCACCCCGGGCCCTGGCACCTCTCCTGCCCCTGGTGCTGGCACTGCTCAGCTTAGCCCCTGTGCCCGCCTCAGGAGGGTGTCCGTCGGCTTGCCGGTGCTCTTTCGCTATGCTGCAGTGCCTGGAATCTGATGGCATCACCAGCGTCCCGATCCTGGCAGAGAAGGAGAGCGAGAACGTGACGGAGATGTGAGTAAAGACGCGTCACCTGCTCTGCATGTTCCCCTGAATGAGCTTTTTGTTCTGATGGAAGCACTCACACGTCTTGTTGTTGTTGGTTTATCAAGCTTGATTGTCACTATGGGGCTGGAGAGGATTAAAGTCTCTGTGCCAGAGTTTTGGTTTTGATGGAGCGTGTGTAAGTCTTCACAGCTGATCTAAAGTTTCAGAGAAGGAAAACAAGTCAGAGATCATTTTAAACAATCGTTCAGGAGAAGATTTTTATGTAGAGCGGGTTTTAAATGGCTCTTCATCACCGGACGGGTTTTCTGGATGAAGGTGGAGCAGTTGCATTGACTTCATCCTCTTTCCCTCACACAAAGTTGCCTTCCACCGCTTCAACTCAGAACAACAAGTGCTTCTCAGCACACTGGAGCGCAGATATGTCACATGGTCTGAGGCCAGCGCAGGGTATTTGTCCAGTTGTCCTCGAGATGTCCTCAGAAATGTTGAACTGCAAAGTATCTTTGTTTATTTCTCATCATCTGTTAGATTCAGCTCTGTTTTCATATCCTACACACTCCTTCTTCTTCTCAGCCTCAGTCGAAACCAAGTGCAGCTCGGCGTAAAGTAAATCTACTGCTGGCAGAGATGGATTAGCTCGGCAGTAATTTAGTCATCTCGGTTACTGGAAATCAATTATGGATCTGCGCTGTCAAAAACTGGAATAAATTGACAGGAGCGGATCTTAACATTCAGCAACTGCCGATCTTGCACTGCGATGGGAAACCCTGCAAACCAACCCACGCAGCAGGTTTAGAGTTACAGGTTTATCTGCTCACATGTTGCAGAGTTCAGCTCCGTGTTTTTGTGGAAACAGGTCAAAATGCGTAACAGCAGGTTTGGGTTCCAGTGAGATGTAGAAATCACAATGGTCTGTTTTGTGTCTGACAAAATGAAGTTATCATCCAGATGTGGCTCCGTAAACCCAGTGGCTTGAGTTAGAATCGTAGATCTGCTCTTTGAAGCATTTAAAACTGTTTTTCTCCAAATCATCAGCTACTGAATAAATCAACTGTTTCACTAGGAATGAGTTTGTCTGTGGTTTGATCAGGAATCATCTGGAGTCCTTCAACACAAAGTTATTATCCTGTTCCACAAACTGTGTCATTGTAAAACTCTAGAAGCGAAGATGATGCTCGTTGTGGTAAAGTCTTACGTAAACTACAAACCTCTGGTGCATGTTTGAGGACAAGATGACAACCTGAGATCCAAGTGTTTCTCAAATTTTTGAGGCTCAAATGTAAATTTCATTCCCGATGAAGGACCCGCTGACCTGCCTGCACCACCGAGGTTGTCCTGACCTTAATTATGTTCTTTTTGCTGGTTGAAATTTGGAAAAGACGACTTTTAGAGGAGAATATCTTGATGTTTCCAAGTCGCAGCCGAGATAAACTGAGACTTCTCTCTCTCTCTCTCTCTCTCTCAGCTGCAGATGACTGTTATTTGACATTGGCTTTTTGAAACTTCGGGAGGAAAAGACGAAGTAGAAAAGTGACCACCTGTGATTTAAAGAGGGCTGCTGTATTATTATGCAACCCACCATCAGCTCCAACACGGAAAACTAAATGTCACTCTCTGCACCACCACGCTGTTCTGCCTTTGTTCCTGTTCCCGGATCTGAGCAATTAGCACTTGTTAAGAAGGAGCTGCATTTGTGAAATGCTATTTCGGTGGAGCAAGTAAATTTTCCACTGCTCTCTGCCACTATTCACCTATACCCCCCTCTCCTCCTCTTCCCCTCCGCCTCTCTCCTCTTCCCTCGCTCTTACCTCAGAGGTGTTTCCTTGTACCTGCAGTTAAAGCGTGCTTCGCAGAGCTCAGGGTGAAGCTTGACATTCTCACTCAACCATTCAGTCAATAAGTGAGCGAGTCTTTCTCCGCTTCCATTTACTGCCGCGCTCGTCACGCCGGCAAACAACAACAACACTCGCTGCCGTATTGGCGCTGCGAGGGAATACAGCCCACGCTGGGAAACAAACTAGGGGCCATTAACTGCGGAACAGGGGCCGAAATTCATCATGCGCCGAGTTATGAATTCAATTTTGTGAATTGCCAGTCAATGCCCCCACCCAGGAACAATAGATGATATATAACCCACTTGGCTCAATCCAATAAGTCAGGGCGATGGGTGATCCTGGGCCCACCTGCCCTGTAATCACATTATTGCCGTGTGGGTCCATCAGACATGAATAAAAAGGGTTGTGTGTTGCAGCTGACAAACAGAGAAGTGGAAGCTTGAAACAATGACTCAGGCTCAAAGTGTTTTTCATCATGTAGGAATTACTGCAGGTATTTATAATGGCGTCTGGTCTACACACTGGAAAAGAAGAGAGAGAGAGAGAGATATCTATCCATCCGTCTGTCTCTCTATCCATCCATCAAACCAGGACTACATTAGTAGCTGTCTGCGGTGGAGTTGGATTGTGGGTAATGTAGTTGCCAGGTTTTTTGTAGAAGAATAAAAAGGTGATAAATACGATAGAGGTGCAATGCTCCATCATCTGCTGATATTCCAAAATAAAAGCATGCTTAAGAGGCTTTTCTTTTGAAAAGAGATGTGGAACTCAGACGACATCTTTGCTTGATTAAACATAATCAGAAAAATAAATAAAATATGTTTCTTCGTGCTAAAATGAAACACGTAGATCATTCTCTCCTTTTTAAACGAATTTATCATTTACAAATTTTTAAGATACCTTAACATCAGATGAACTTCATGCACATTCATATTTCATATACTTATTCTCTCATGTTCTATTGTGTTTTCCTCGAGGCACTCTCCTGAAGACACGATTTGTTTTTGATTAAACGTTTAATTTTATGGGGGAGAATGCTCAAGGATTTTCTGTGGAAAACATCTACGTGGACAAAACCCCACAATATTTGAATGTAGTGAATCTCATCCTTTCAGAGAAGCCTGATAAAGAAGTGTCCTCCTGAGTTAAATGGACAACTCAACAATATTGTACGTAGGCCTGGAGGGAGCGGAGCGAGTGCGGGGTGGAGGAGGGCAAAGAATGGGGTGGACAAGACAGTTTGCGCCGCGAGATCCTTGGTCTCGTGAAAAGAGCCGGGCCTGTCCTTGCACTGAGTGCTGAATTGATCCTCGGCTCGCTCAAGTGGAAAATGATTAGTTGAGAAGAATTTCCCATCAGCCTCATCCACCCCGCATCTCTTAAGACATCGTTTATTTTTTCCACGCGAGCGGTAGATTAAGTTCTGATGAGAGCCTTGTGGTTTTGTGGCTCCCTGGACATCTGGGCTGGTTTTGTTATCTGTTTGTTGCGTGGATGAGGTCGGACACATGTCAGTGGGGTCAAATCTTTTTTGAATCCTCTTCTTTATTCCTTCATCGTAAAGTTCTGACTCCCACACGCTCTCAGGACGTCACGTGTTTCTTCCCATCGTCTTTCTTGCCCGTTGTGCCTCTCCACACTGAAGGCCTTTCAAAATAGGTTTGTGGTCTTAATTAGCTGCTGAGTGTTGACGCAGGTTGTTGGGTATGGAGTGTCGTCGTCAAGACTTTGAGTTTAAATCTTTTGTTGGTCTCATCTGGTATTGGGCACGAAACTGTGTTTAAATGGTAAATCTGTATTTTCTAATCATCTGTGCAAACTTGAAATCGTCCACATTAAACACAAATCTCCAACAACCTTGCTCAATAAACGGATCTACTTTTTTTTTTCAAATGTCTGTTTTCATCATCATTCAGTTTGACCTTAAGTGAGCATCTATAGCTGCACAACAAATGGTGGAAGGTCACAACGAAATGTATGAATTTACCTTGAAACGCCCCCTCTCTCTTTTTCTCTCCCGATTTTTCTCCTGCCTCCCCCTTTTTCATTTTCTGACCCAGTTACATAGAAAACCAAACAGGCCTGGAGAACATCACAGAGTTTGAGCTTGTTAACTACCGAGAGCTGAAGAACCTGTAAGTCGTGCATCTCTCACACCTTCCTTCACCACATGTTCAGCATGATTCCAGATGTGCTGTATTTTCCTTTTCCAAAACCAAATGACTTTCCATACGCCTCATCGTTCGTTACTCTCTGCTCTCGTGAACGTGCAGTTTACGGTGACGATTACCGCAGATTTACCGATAAACAGCTTTCACAAGCAAAGTGATTCAGCTGATATTAGCTCCATGAGTTGAGCCTCCAGCCGACTTTAAATGTGAATTACATTGCACTAAAAAGACTTTTGTGAAGATGATAAGGAAGAAAAACTTAATGTCAGTCATACTTTGGTTAATCTTCTTAGCTTTCGTACTTCAGATTATAGACTTTATATAAAGATGGACGACGTGACAGCTGCCAAAGTGTCTCAACATGTCCCCCCCCCCCATGGTGACTGCCTAGATTTATATCTAAGTCATCTGAGAATCTTTATCCATTAATTGATCGGCTGATCAGCAAAAAAATAATTTAGAAAAAGACGAACGAAGGAAAAAATCCCCAAAAATCTGTAGTTTCTATAAAAGTAAATTAAAGAAATACTGTAGATGAATCGATTGTGATATTAGTTCAACCACTGCTTTTATTTGTCTCACACAAACTCAAGATTAAGTGTTGATCATCTAAAACCAAGTGTGTTTCGTTGTGTTCTCTCCCCTGCAGCACGGTCATGTCATGTAGGCTGAGGCACATCTCAGCCAAAGCCTTCCAATACAACCTCAAGCTCCAGTATGTGTAAGTGTCCTTGTCAGTACAACATGTGTGTGTGTGTTGTTGTAACCTGCGTGTGAGTCAGACTGTTTGTCGCTGTCGGTCACTGCTCGGCCGACCCCGCACTACCGCACACGTCACACGGGCTGAGAAAGTGAAACCACTTGGAATCATCTTTCCCAAACAAGTTCGAGCATAAACTGTGTATAGCTATTAAAAATATTACAAGCATTTGTTTAACGTAAGTTTTTTTTTAGATGTTTTTAGAGTTTTACATCTTTGTAAGTGGATTATCTTGAAGACGAACAAATTAAAGCAACCAGCGTTTTCTACCTCTTCGAATGTTCAAAAGACTAAATGAGCATCAGTCAATTTTAACTGCAGTCGATTAATTCTGCTGTCACTGACAAAAGGGGTTTCTCTTTCTTCACTTCTGCAGCATACTGTAAGGAAGTCGGTCACACCAGCATAAAACATATAAAACAGCTAAACAACCTTTTCTTTTTTTATAATTTGAAAGTAGAGTATCTTAGTTTTATTAGACCAAACAACCAATCTGAAGAAATCACTATGAGCATTATTTTAATGCTGAAAAGACTAAACGAGCATCGATCAATGGAGACAGTAACCAGCAGATTAATCAATAGTGAAAACAATCTTTTAGTTGCAGCCTTAAAGTGAATTAATTCTGCTGTCAATAAGGAAAAGAAATGGACTTTAGGAGAAATGTACATCATTGTGCGATAGTAAATATGTATCCAATAATAACCCGCTCCATCTTCAACGGCCATTGAAACATGAGTTCCATTTATTTTTCCTGTTACTTCACGTTCGGCGTCTTCAGTCAGTTTGTCCTCACGATCCAGACCCAACAACAAATAACAATGTAAAGACTTATCAGCCGGATCCCTCAGACCTGAGTATTCATCAGCAGCTGACCTTATCGCCACGGGCTTGTCCTCGTCGTTTCACTAATTGTTTCCAACATGTCCGACGCTGTTTTTATCTGAAAGACGAGCGGGCTTGAGGGCCGGGGACGGCTCGGCAGTGGTGGTGGTGGTGAGTTTGGCGGGGTGAGTTTGAGAAATTGGAGAAGACATCCACCAGTCACCTTTTACTCGCTCACTTTGGCGGATTATCGACAACTGATGCATAATAAATACACTCCACTAAGGGTCCATTATCACTTAATCAATATTCCACTGAGGAGGGAGAGGCGGGGGCTGGGTGGTGTTCGGGGGGGCTCCTGTGTGACAGATGTATTTCTGAGATTAAGAGCGACTGACTACAACCAGTGAACACGGCGGCTGCATCAGCTCTGAGCTTTTCCTCATGCTCTCGTCTTCATCCACAATCCTCCTCCTCCTCCTCATCCTCCATCGTCTCTTAAAAGTGCATTCAGCTCTTAAGACTGGCTCCAGGAGAGCGAGCTGCAGTTCCCGGCTCCGCTCTGCCCCTGTGGACCCAGGGAGGAATCGAGCCGGTAATGGATAGGCCCCGATGGCTAACCCATCTGACATGAACTTTTGGGGGCAAGGAAAACAAATAGTTGAACCCTCGGCCCTGCCACGGTGAATATGTATTGGCTTCCGCGTTCATGCTCCCCTGTGCGGCTTCTTGTCATCTTCGGAGGGAGGTTTATTTACAGCCGGCTTCTCGGCCGTCTGAGGATCATTCGAGAGCCACTGTGATGATATTTGAGTGCATGGCCTGAGAGGATTGACAAAATGATATGCAGCATTCATACACCATAATATTACCATGGTAGCTCGCTGTATATCATTTTAGATTCAGGCTTAAAGCTGTTCATATACAATCCACACTACTTTGTTTTCAAGCATCTTAAGTGAAGAAGTGTGGAAATGCTTGCAAATACGGAACGTTGCTCACACTGACTCCCAGCAGCAGTCTGCAGAAAATGAATGTGATTTTTATTTCTGACACCAGCTTCTGTTCAGCTCTGTTGTTGGAGCGGTCTGTCAATCCTAAACAACCTGGGGAACGACGTGAGATTGGACCGCTCTTCAGCAGGGAGCAAACAATAGGTCTGAAGCAAATGCTCCAGTCTCCAGGATCCAAAAATCACATGATTGGCAAGATCGCTTTGAAACTTTGAAATAAGAGACTGCAACAGTTTCCAAACATCAGGCAAAGATTTAAAACTTAGTTTGATGCCCAAAAAAAGGCTCGTTGTTTTCAAATTGATATCTGTTTTGGAATCTGGCAAAATATTTACCCAAAATGAAGGTTCGTGAAAATCTATCTATAAATTTCTACTGGAGATTTTGTTGCCGACGGACATTTCCCTGGAGCCGAGCACGACTGAAAACCTTGCTGGTGTCTCTGTGTGTCTTTATCAGCGCACTGTAAATACAAATATTCATATTCCTTCATTGAAAGACAAAACATTCTGTGTAGTATTTCAGTCAGCGTGGACGAGTTTTGTCCGTCCTCCAAGAAGTGTTTGAGACTAATCACCTAATGTACCGAACACGAAGCGAACACAGAGACTTGTGCTCGAGGTGTTTGTGAGTGCGGCTCCCGGCTGTTGTGAAATACTTGCCGAGGTAATTGATCAGAAGCCATTTGGATGCATTAATGTTTTCCACTGAGAGCAGGTAAGCGTTGTTCGGAGAGAGTGCAATCAAATCACAATGTGATCCAACTGCAGAGCGCGACTATGAAGGGAACGTTTTTACTCTAAATGCTCCTTTTTATTAAACCCGAGCACAGTTTGATTTTTTTCTGAAAAATAAACTTTTCTCAAAGCAACGTTATTTTCACCAAGGTACTGTTTCCTTATTGTGTATTTGTGATACTGTTGTGATATATATGTAGTGAAGCAAGTGTTTATAATGTGTGTTTTCTTCGTGTGTTTCACAGGAACCTGGCGTCAAACTCTCTGGAGCACGTCTCCTGGAGGGTGTTTCATTTTCTGCCTTTGCTCAACCTGTGAGTCCGTTTAAAACAATAATTATATAAGACATTTAACGTTGTTCTGTTTATACTGATAATAAATCATACCTCCTCCATGTTAGTGGGTGGGACACGGGTCAAATTAAAAAGTACACGCCCAATAAATAATTCTCAAAGATTATTTTGGTCATTGTTGTTATCACACTGACGATTGTTCATCATTGGGATGAGTTTGGATTCATCAGTTATTCGATGCTGTTAAAACGTGGTGAAACATCATTACTGGCAGCTGAGACTGACTCATGATTGGCTGACTCAGGAGCTGGTGTATCGGCGGGATCTCGATACTCCATCCCCTGATTGCTACTGGGAAGACTGTGGCTCCAAATGCAATTACAGTCAGTGTGCATGATATTGTCAGAAACAAGGATTCAGGGAGTCTGGGTTTCATACGTTACGACTTCTGCTGCTAAACTGCAGGTCGTCAAACTGATCCTGTCAACATGCGAGGTCCAGAGAAACAAACCTCCAGCATAAGGCCAACGACAAGCTAACAAGCTAACAAACAACATGAGCAGATAAAAGTGGTAAACTTCCCCCGTACTGATGCGTCAGATTGGTACAGACTCGAGAATCTAACACGTGTGGTTTAATGTTTCCTTTAGAGTTTTGGTTTTTTTTTTGTTGGAAAAGCAAATTAAAATAAATGTTAGTCACAGCATATTTCTACACGCGTTAAAACTGCTAATTCACAGTGTGTCTCGAGTTAGAAGATACGAAAGGTTGTTTCCTATCTAACGGTAAAATTCTTCAAGCGAGTGAACACATAAAAACTAAACACTCCTCTTTTCCCTCTGTCTTTTCTTGGCCAGGGTTTTGCGGGACAACCCTCTCGTGTGCTCTTGCGATCTCTTCTGGCTGCAGGAGTGGCAGCGCAACGGCCGCGGCGACCTGGACAACCAGATGTTGTCTTGTTTCTCTGACAACCAGGAAGTGGCCCTCAACTCTTTGGTGATAGACAACTGCAGTGAGTTACGATTACGTTACACGTAATGCATGTTTGCACAGTTCACCTTCAATGCACACAGTGTTTTTTTTACTCATCGGTTCACTCCATACAAAGAGTAAACAGAAAAATCAGATCTGTATTTGGTGTGCATTTCTTCTTTCCGCAGATATCATTATTGCCTGATGACGCCTGATAAAGATATTTAAACGTATTTCTTGAGAAATTCACAAAAATGTTTTGGTTAATGCTCACAGAAAGATGGAGATGGAAAAGTAGATGTGAATTTAAAAAAGAGACAAAACATACGTTTCCTATATTTCAGCATTCGATTATAAAGTTTGCGCCATTTCACGGGTATTGAATATTTGAAATAACGCAGCTTGATTCGAAAAGGAAAAGTGAAAAGGACTTGTCTCCATAATGTGTATTAATACCTTCAAAGAGCAGGTTCAGTGAGATGCAGAGAAGAAATTAGCTCTGCGTCGTCGCCTTAATCACACACAGTAGGAACGTCTTGTTGCCAGGAGACATATGAGAGAGGTTTTTGGTTTCTGTGCTCGTTCTCTCAGTCTTATTAGCGACCGGTGCTCGATCGTCCCTGTGCGCTCACGCTGTCCTCTGCTGCTCTCAGGTTTGCCTGTGGTGTACATCGTCTCCTACAAGGACAAGATTCAAGAAGGAGGCAACCTGACGTTTGAGTGTCACGTGACAGGAAGTCCCACTCCCAATGCCAGGTGGCGAACCAACAAGCTCCACTCTCCTTTCTTTACCCAGGTACTGAAAGGTGTCGATACATTTACATGTCATCCAATTATCAATCAAATCCATTTGTAAGAATAACGTCCTACCGTGATTCACAGGAAAACTAATTTCAAGTCACTGGAGCCTCTTATAGGTTCTATATGCAGAATATTTTTGCCATGAAATTAAAAAGCTCTGCAGCCTTTGTCTAGCTCCGTAATTTTTAGCTCGAGCTAATTCTATGAAATCCATGCTGTCAGAGTACAAGCATAAAACTTATGAAATCCTGCATGACTCATCAGTGCGCTGAACAAGTCGGCCATATTGTACTTCATTTTGCTCGTCTGAAAGAGAGAAAATAAAGGAGAAATGTCCGTCTGAAAAGGATTCAGGTTTTCACAGCCTATTTTTCGCTTGTCACCAAATGTCTGCGTGTGCATTTCCTTGAACTTGTGATTTGTATTTTCAGATTTTCTGTGTGAAGCTCTCTAGCTCAGCGGTGTTGTTTTTTTTTAAGTGATATTGGCTCCTGTAATCTATTGATCTGACACTAGAGTAAATTGGACTGCACTTCATCTCTCTTACCTGAACATCTCTAAGTGATCCAGCGGCAGCTGCGTGGCTGTGACCGGGTCGTATTAATAACCCCCTCTCCTCTGTGTCGGCCGCTGCAGGAGAGAATCTGGGGCTCCAAGTTAGAGCTGGTGCTTTTACTCAGCAACGTCTCCTCCAGTGACAACCTGCACAATCTCACCTGCGAGGCAGAGAACCGAGCTGGGCCCAGGGAGGAGATGGTGACACTGGACATTGAGTGTAAGTGCCTTTCGAAATAAAAACCGCACTCCTGAAAGCTCACAGGCTCAATACCGGTTGTCGGGCTTAATGGAGGTTATGGTGAGAGCACACCGGGGCCATTTTTTCTTGTGCAGGCACAGCGGACAGCCACAGAAAAGAAAATTGCGCTGCACAGATTTCTTCTAAATGCTCCTTCAACAAATATGAGTATGTACCCACCACGCTTCTAATGGAGCTCTCTGTCATCTGCCACTCACTCTGGCAGCTGGTGAAAGGAGTTAAAATAATGAGTGAAGTGCTGCAGGTATGGCTCGCCCTTTAATGCAGGGATACGACGAGGACAAAGGAAAGTGAACTTACCTCTCTTTGCTCTTAGAAAAAAAAAAAACTCTACCTCATACACGCCGTTCTTCTAAATTACACTTGCAGCTTGACCCGGGAGGCTTCGCTGCTGTTCTCTCTGTTTGGATGCATTAGTGCACGTGGAAGTTGGAACACTGAGGAATGACAGCAGCCGGCGGTTCCGCAGAAAACACAGTCGGATGCATTAGTCATTACATTACTGACAATACCGCCCAAACAATATCGTATATCAGCGGCTCAGTGACACTCATTAGAAAATAAAGCCAAAAAGAGCGAAGGCGCCAATCAGCTGGGGCCAAATGCACGAGCATCGAGGGACAGATAATGAACATCAGGGAAAATGGGCCTGATAACCCGCGCGAATATCTGATTTGAGCCTCTGCTAATGGACTTTTCCCTCCTACTCCGGAAAACCGCTTCATCCGCACTGATTGGCAGCCTGCAAATGCGTTAGTGTAGCTAATCTATCAACATCAGCCCCCCTGGTGAACGGACACTCGTTAACCGCCAGCCCTTTAATTACTCTTAATTATCTCCCAGAATAGTGGGTGTTTACTGCTGAGTGGCTCCCTGTGCCATTAATTCACCGTACTGGCAGAGCTCCTCTTTCACAGAAAAGAGCTTTTTCCACAATGTCTCTTTTTTTTTTTTCAGTTCAAAAGGTGAATTTGGAGCATTTGCTTTCTCACTATCCATCATCACCAAAATGGAAACAGAGGTTCTGGTTGACTTTGAATCAACCAGGAACTGTCAGGTGTCATTTTATGTCACCTTTTATTTTTCACAAATGTTCATTGTCTAATCCCGAGATGAAGTGTGACAACTGACAGACTCATTAAACATAGTTCTAGCCCCTCATTTAACCCCTGCAGCGAAATGGCTCGTGTAAGACTGGTGGAGGTTGCTAATGGATGATTAGTTAAATGTGACAGAGAACAAATTTTCCCTCAGTGTAACAGACTTTCAGCTGCGAGTACAGACACTCGTGCCTTCGGTCTATCCCCCTTAGCGCAGCACTCTTCTGAGGCTGGGTCATGGGTTAAGAGCAGCAGAATGGCTCGAGCGCAACGAGGGGTCTCGGCACTCGAGGCCCGCGTTCGATCTGAATGAGGCCATTTCCTGTAAGTTCACATCCAGCCGAGCTTCCAGGTAGCTTTTGTGGTCGGGGGCACAGTGATGACCAGGATTCATTATTCATAGCAGGTCAGCGCAGGTTTGCAGCGCAGATGGAGAACATTGATTCATGGAAACTCTAAGGGAACTTATGTTATATATGATCAAGATGCACATTCAGCATAAAATCAATCTATTGACTTGTCCATTTATTTGAGCATCTGTAATTATTATTTGACTTACTGAGGTGGAAAGTTACTAAGTGCGTTTACTCATGTATTTACAGGCACTTGATTATTTCCATTTTATGATTCTTTTAAACCAGGAATGGTTCTCATGTCCCGGATTCTCAAACCTGTCTTTTCTCAACAGTTCCTGTCAAAATCATCTTCCTGAAAAATGCCGTGCGGCAGCATTTCTGGTGTTTCCCCTTTGCCGTAGACGGCAACCCTGAGCCGAGCGTCGCCTGGCTGTACAACGAAAAAGAGCTGAAACAGACCAGGTACACATACACCCAGTTCTTCACGGACTCGTCGGACGGGTCGGTTAAACAGGGCTGTCTCTTCCTCGACAAGCCCACCCACATCAACAACGGAAACTACACTCTGATCGCGCAGAACAAACTGGGAAGGGATGTCGCCACTGCCATTGGGGATTTTATGAGCAACCCCTTCGGCACGAACAATCCTGAGGGCTCCATTCTTGGTAAATTTTAAAATTGTTTTGTGGCAGCAGGAAGTCTTCTGCTGATTAATCGATTGATCATCTGAAAAGAGATTTTGATTATCAGCCGTAATATTTTAACCATTCACGGTAGACTTACCACAAACTGCAAGAATGTGAAACAATGTGATACACGATGCATTTTAAGAAAAACGTGTTCTATTTGCAGTATCGTGGACAAGTACTACACTACCAACAATCCTCAGGTGTATTAGTGACATCTCTGATTGGTGGAGCTCACATGACTGCAAACATCCTGTCAGCTGCAATTGGATCATTTGTTCCTTAAACACATCAATCAATCTTTATTTAGCAATATTTTAAGTGATAGTTGGTGATAATAAAGTAGAAATTATGTTGAAATGTGTGTGAATGTTTGAGTAGCTAAATAGTGACTAGGCTACAAGCTTAAATAGTTTTATATCGTTTCATCTGTTCACTGTTTGTTCACGAGTGTTTGTGCTCTCGCTTCCCACATGCCAGTCCATGAGGTGGATCCAAGTAAGTCTCTGATTGATTTTCATTCTTCTAAACATCTCAGTATGTCTCCTTAAAACTTCACTCATTTGTTTCATTCAGCTTCTTCAACAAATCTCATTTCTGTCCCTCAGATCCAACAATCAAATCAGACATGAACGTCACGGAGAACCCAGAGAGTCGGGTGTTCGTGGTACGTCTGGGCCTCATCAGCCCGATAGAAAGTTAAAGAAAAGAACGTTAAAGTTTCAATAATGTCTCCGAGTGTAACTACGAATTTGCTTGTGTTGGTTCGAACAGGTGTCTGTAGCTGTCGGTCTCGCTGTTTTCGCCTGCACTTTTCTTCTCATCATGCTTTTGGTGATTAACAAATGTGGCCAGCACTCCAAGTTTGGCATTCACAGTAAGTTGGTATATTCACAGTTGGTATAATTATTCAAACAAGTTATCTCAGATGTGAAGAACAATCTAACTGTGCAAATGACAATGTCACTGGTCTGGCAGAGAAACACCTGCAGCAAATTTAACTTTCTGTAAAACCACAGCAAAGAAAACTGGTCGTTTTCCTTTTAGACATTTTTTCATATTAATCCTTTATTAACCACAATGTAGGATTATTATTATTATTATTCCTAAAACTTGAACTACTCCTTAAAAGACATTGAAAAGTATGGGAAAAAGCAGGTACAGGTGTATTTTTACACATTTGATCCTCATTTAAGTATAGTTTGTATGTGTCCGTGTTTAAAGAAGAGTTTGGGGAATAAACCTACTTTCTGGAAACAGTTGCACAGAATATATTCGTCTCTCATGTATGTAAACAGAAGCTACAGCCAACAGCTAGTTATCTTAGCTTTGCCAGTTCGCTTAGCTAAGATAAGTTAGCCTAACTAAGCTAAACTCACGCTTCTGTTGCAAACACTCATGGAAAAACACGTAGAGTAGACTTTTCACAAAGTTGTGGTTTTGTTGGAAGTTAAATTTGAAAAGTAATTTTAAATGTTTCTTTTAGCTACGGTAAGCTAAGCTAAGCAGCTTTCAGTTCCAGCTCCCACGTTGGCCTGTATCTCATTTGATTAGGGAAATAAAGAGTTTTTGGTTAATGGAGCTATACGTTTCCATCGCAATTTTCGATTTTCTAACATTGGACAGAACAAAGTCGCAGATGGTTCTGTCAGGCTCTCGCAAGGTGAACGCACAACAGAGTACTAACTAATACAGGATCTCCTGCAGGAGCTGTAACTTCGACAGAGGCCGCCGCTGTGTCGGTCGGGGCTAAAGTGCCTTAATTACTGAATGAGAATGGCGGTACAAACCTACCTCGGCCATCGCCACGTGGTGAGGACCATTAAAGAAGATGGATTGAGGAACAGCTAGACGTGATATAGCTCCAGTCGGACACCCCCCCCCACCCCCAACACACACACACACACACACACACACACACACACTTACCCTTCTCACTATCAAAGTGCCTAAGTGGGCCTGATTGCCTAAGTGGACCCTGCTCCCTGTTTCCTTCCCTCCATTGCGTCCGTTCTTGCTCTTTGTTGTTCCATTTTCCGCCGTGTTGGACTCTGGGGGTTCTGTGGTTTGCCTTGCTGAGTGGGGTTTTACAATTTGGGCCACACTTGTTTGGCATTTAATATGCAGTGTAGTCAGGGGTTGCTCACTATTCAGGCTTCACATATGGTCTTTTTTTCCCCCCAGTTCAATGTGGTCTGATTGCTGCACGGTTGATGATGGTGATTATTGAAGCTTATCATCATCCATCACCATGGCACCAACAAATGTGCAACCAAGTTGGTAGTGGAGAGCGTCGGCTCCTCAAATGGGGAAGAAATGGGCTCCGAATTATTTCTTTTGATGGCCACTGCAATCACAAATGGCAGGAGACTGATTAGGTGGTGCAGCGTATCCATATCAGTTGTTTTTGTTTGCATCCCTCCCCGCTTCGTTAGGGTCGTCAGTTTTGGGGACAGAGGATGACCTGGCCGTCTCGCTCCGTTTCATGAACTTTGGAACCAGCCCACCTTCCTCAGATGAAGACTCCGGTTTGTCCAGCTTCGTAGAGAATCCACAGTACTTCTGCGGCATCATCAAGGACAAAGACATGTGTGAGTCCCATTCCTTGTTGCTGGAAAAAATAAATAATTAATGGTATTTCGTTTTCATTTCCAGTTTAAGTTTTTTGGCTGTAGCTAAAGTTGTGTAATCTGGAGCAAATATGATACAAACAAGACATCAGATTGTCACGTACTCCTCGGATCATCAGACCTTGTGTGTATTTGATGATCAGGTGTCCAGCACATTAAACGCCAGGACATCGTGCTGAAGTGGGAACTCGGCGAAGGGGCGTTCGGCAAAGTCTACCTGGCCGAGTGCGCCAACCTGAGTCCTGACAGCGACAAGATGCTGGTCGCTATCAAGGTGAGTCACTCGTACCGGATCCTCTCCGCTCATTTAACAGCAGTATCGATGCTGATGCATTTCAATCACATCTGTGCATTGGCAGCTTTGGTGAAACCACGTCAGGTGGCAGTGGGGATGTCCGACAAGCGGAGGAGGGGTTCAGTACAAACTGTAGACTTTTGCTGAATGTACCTGGGAAAAAATGGGATTGTGTGAAAATAAAGAACCACAGTACCTCAATTTTCAAAGTAAGACGCTGTCATGTTTAAGTAGTACTAAAAAATACCGATACGTATACTAAGGTTGTGCGTCAAAGGGTTTATTAATGACGTTGACTGCTAAAACAATTCAAGCACTCTTGCTGCTGCACCGCCAAAAGTATAGGTGGTAGTCGGCACTCATACTTAAATCTTCTGTACAGTATAAAGAATAACATCCTGTGGTTTCAGAGAGAGACGTCTGTGTGTCGGTGGTTTAATACCCGGCTCATGTTACAGTTTAAAGCAAACCACAGCGAAAAAACCAAGACGATGAATCTTTATTGTCCCATTAATGTAACGTTTACTTTTATTATTCAATGAATAACACTTGCCTGTTAAACTCCTCCATCTTTTTACGTTGGTCCCAACAACCAAGAACGATTTGGGAGGTGTTGATGTGTGATCCTGTGGTCATGTGGTCACAGACGCTGAAGGACGCCAACGAGTCGACCCGGCAGGACTTCCAGAGGGAGGCGGAGCTGCTGACGGTGCTCCAACACCAGCACATTGTGCGATTCTACGGTGTCTGTACGGACGGAGAGCCGCTGGCCATGGTGTTCGAGTACATGAGGCACGGAGACCTCAACCGCTTTCTTCGGTACGTAGAGGACCTGGACACGAGGACTTGAGGGTCATGAGTTCAATTTCCCCAACTGTCCTCCGTCCATACGCAGTTGAAGGAAATGTCAGATTTTAGCAAACTGAATGAAATGCTGGAGGCTTTTGAAAATTTGTTGTCTCATAATATCTTCAAATATCAGCCTTTGGTTATAATCCTCATCACAATAAAGCAGATTAAACAGGCAAACATGAAAAGCTGAAGAGGTTTTCTGAGCTGTTCAAAGCAGCAAAAACTAAACTCTACAGCAGACGAGTACATGTGAAATTAAAAACATCGATGAGGGCTCTGTAATACTCAAACACTTGAAAATAATATATTAACAAAACAATCTGTGACAATTTCTTATTTTTGATAAAACATTTAGGCAACTTTAAAAATAGCCTCTTCACAGAACAGAACACACTATAATACAGATGCAAGGACATTCGGAAAGGACACATTTTTTATTTTACAATAACTTTAGTTCACTATATTTCATTCATTATCTTCACTCGGTGTGCCCACGTGATATTTGCTCACAAATGAAACGTCTGATTTCAACCTCACCATCAAACCGACGGCTGCACTTGCCCTGAGCAGCAAAGCTTCTTCCAGACGAACCTGATGTTTGCTTAAAAGTCAGACCCACAAAGTTGACCTCAGCGGACTGCGTGGTTCCAGTGGTCACTCAGAAGAACCGTAGATTCTCAGTGTTTAATGGTGAGGACGCGGACACGTTGGGTTTTTTGTCTTTACTCCCTGTGTTTAAATTATCTGGGGATTATTATCAGTGGTTGAAATCCCCTGGATATGTGACATGTCTACTTCCTATAGTAGACATGTAAAATAAATAATGGTCTAATAATTTAAACTATATTTGTCGTAAAATGGGGCATGATACATTTTGTATTATACTGCACAACAAACAAACAGACTCGGGTGAAAATAAAACGTCCTGGAAAGAGTAATGAAATTTACTCCATCTTTTTCTTTCCCTTAGAATTAATATCACCCTCTGATACAGAGAGAGAGGCTGACGTGAATTGTGCGGAAGAAAAACTTGCTTTGATGAATTGATAAAAAAACCTTCATAGGCAGCTTTCCAATTTGGGTTTCACAAAGTGGATCTATAATTTACCAGATGTCCTCACGTCATAATAGCAAACAGAGTGAATTTCTACTGTAGCAGGATTTTATTTGAATACTAATGAACACAGTAAATAACCAGATCCAGCACTCAAGGAGAAATTGAAGAAATTTGCTCGGACTAATTTGTCGTCTCCTGAAGGGTTCATGTGGCAAATCAGCTCATTGCGACACTTGAATTGTCGTGCGATGTGGTGACAGAGGAACTTTGAAACGCGTCTATTCAATCGTTTAAAGAGTAATTTGAAAACATCTAAGTTTAGAAACCTCTGGGGAGGCTGAGACGATGTTGACCTATTAGAGCTCACTATGCACCTGGGAAACCATCTGACAGAACGATCAGAGCAGACGCAGTGGATGCTGGCTGCCAGGTTTTCTCCACAGGAGGCAGATTGGGAATGAAAACACACTCACACACACACACACACTCACACACACACACACTCTGCCTGAGATGCATCTTTGCGAATGGGTGAAAATCGCATTTCCAGCAGACAGAATGGGTGAAATGTCTGTGGGCCCCCACAATGCAGCTGCTTTCCCACCCTGCCACCTGCCTCTTAAACTAATAGTAATTGTATAGACAACTTCCTTTGTAAGGCGGGGACAAAGTGGAGAGGAGACATATTAGGATGGATGGAGACACATCATCTGTGATTTGCTCATTTAGGCTGGAGTTGGACGTGAGAGTGGGTGTTTATGATCCACAAGAACAACTGAGAGTCAATGTGCTCTGCATCCCCGAATTGCATTATTGCAAATCAATTGTAGGCGTATTGCAAGCCTTATGTTTTCTATTAGGCGTCATTGTTAAATGGCTTTATTATGGTACGGTCATGTTGACCACGTCTGCAACGCTCTCAAGAGCTCTCGGTGCTCAATCTGCAGATTGAACATCGCTGAGTTCATTGTCCTGCAGGTCACCCAAGGTTGATGCCATAGTTACCAACATACTGAGAAACCAATCCTGGTGTTTGATTAATCTGAAAGCGCCGACAGAAACAGAGGAGAGCAGCAGAAGCCAGCGTGTTCCGTTCTTTACACGTGCAAACACATTTCACCCATTTAATAATTCACACAGGTCAGGAATTCAGATATTCATGGAATAAATAAAAACCAATTCACTCCGGATGAAAAATAATATTAACAATCTAATGATATAAACTTAACTTAGTCACAGTCATTTTATTTTTAACACTTTAAAAATACTTTTTGAATAAAGTACTTTAGCTTGTTATATTAACTTAGCACACATTAACTAATTTTCACCTCGTCTCACGTGTTCTTTTTAATAAAACAGAGATATCGTTACCTTCGTGTGTCTCACGTGTCTGTAGAGCTCACGGCCCGGACGCTCGTATCCTGGAGGAGACCAAGATGCCCCCGCTGGGTCAGCTCACTCTGCCTCAGATGCTGCAGATCGCCGCTCAGATCGCCTCGGGCATGGTCTACCTGGCGTCGCTACACTTCGTCCACCGTGACCTGGCCACCCGCAACTGTCTGGTGGGAGAGGGCCTGGTGGTCAAAATCGGAGACTTCGGAATGTCACGAGACATCTACAGCACAGACTACTACAGGGTAAGAGGCCAGAAAATAATGAGACCGGGGGGTTTGTGTTTATTTTCTTCTTTGCTTCTGACATGGAAACCAATCAAATGTTATTCGAAATCAATCTATGGTGAGTTATTCGAAGGCTCACAAGAAACTTTCCCTTCTAGAAAAGAAAGGGCCTGAATTCTCAAGCACAAAGATCAGGGCTCTATACTATACTATATACATTTCAGGCTTTTTCCTTTTCTAAAATGAGGAGAAAGTTCTTGACACTCTCTTCCAAATTCATTTCTAACTGGCTGAAGAGTTTGTGCCTCGTCTTCCTGCTCAGGTGGGTGGACGCACCATGCTGCCGATCCGCTGGATGCCCCCGGAGAGCATCATGTACAGGAAGTTCACCACGGAGAGCGACATCTGGAGCTTCGGCGTCGTCCTCTGGGAGATCTTCACCTACGGCAAACAGCCCTGGTACCAGCTGTCCAACAGCGAGGTGGGTCAGGGGGGAGAGTTGTTCAGCAACCAAGGGATTAACGGTCATTGGGCCGTGATCGATTCGATCTTGTTGGCTTTGCAAAACATTCACTTGGACTCATCTGATTAGTTCAGTGGTCAAAGGTCACAGTGAAAGAAACTGCACTGGGTGGTGGAGGCATACGACCACAGGGAGGTCGGGCTCGCCTCCAGCCTCCAGCCTCCAGCCTCCATGTGACAAACCAGAAAGTGTTTTTCTCTCTCGTCCTTGTATGTGAAGACAAATGAAATCTTGTCTGTGTCGTTCAAAACACAGGGAGTTTGATTTAGTACAAATCTGATTCATCTGTGTCAAGACAGGATAGTTTAAATCTTAAGTTTACTATTTCATGCTACTAGTGGAGGTAACCTAATTCTAAAAAGGGGACAGTTAATATCCTACTCACCATGGAGGGGAGGGGAAGAGCTGTCTGAGGCCAAAGGTCAGCTCCGCAGCAGTTGGTCTCTTCTTCTTCTTCAGTTTCTTGTTTCTTCCGACACTGACGAGGCTTGCATGCAGCACAGCACAACATCAGAGCCCCGTGAATCCTGCATATGCACCAGACCTGCACAGGAGGATGACAGGGACGTGTTTGCTGCATGTGACTGAAGAACCCACGTTCACACACACCTGCAATCACTCAGCACCCACTGGCTCTCTCTCTCTCTCTCTCACACACACACACACACACAGACAGAGCCCCTCCCAATCACTGCAACCCAGTGTGAAGGTGAGTTAGTGTGAAGTTGCTGATGCAGGTCGAGTATAACACTGGCAGGTTTAAGTTCTTCATCTGAAGTGTTTTTACGTAACGCAGCCAGCAGCTGAAGTCGTGATGTCCTTGGCGGAGACAATCAGCTTCTCCTCAAAACAAATACAGCAGTAAGAAGCTGCACATTATTCATATAGATGTTATTTCTGTAAATTACTTTTACGTTTAATACTTTAATAGCACAGTTTCCTGAATACCGTCTCCGCTGCCTCTCGCATTTTCATTGTGGACGCTTCGGAGCATGTGTTGCTGAAGTTTTACGCCGCCCTGCGCTCTTAAACGAATCAATAGGTTCATAGTAATTAAGGCCAGTGCAGTCTAGCCTTTTCAGCTCAAGCACCAAGAAGTGGGACTCCATTGCAACCACAGCGATGCTATTACAGCACCGAACCCTCTCTCCTTTCAAGAGACGAGTGGATCACTTTTCCCCTGCACTCGATTCTAATCTCATTGGTTTTCATTTTTACCCAGGGCCAATGAGCTGTAACCTCGTTAACCCAATCTGTCTCGGCCAATGAGGGACAGGTGAAATTATCATGTTGCCCAAACACGCTGTGGCGTAGATAAATCACCCTGACATACTGACGCTGTGGAGACGGCGGCCATTTTGGGGCGGACGTTACGAGTGTCTCTGCTCAGCTGCGAGACTGAGCAACGGCGCGGCGCTGACACAGGCCTCTTGTGCTCATTGGATCAGGCCAAGGTTAAAAATGAGGACGAGACTGAGTCAGAAAATCCTCCCTCTCATCCTCGACAGTGATTTATTCACTGAGCTAGAAGAGCGTGTGAACTCAATCATTGCAGCCATTAGTGTCGGAGCTGGAGGTTATTCATAATTCGGATTTGCTCATTTGTCCCCGAGGTCTCGGCTAATAGACGCGTATCTGCAGAATCTTTTTTGCGCCGTGCAGGAGAGACTTTGGCGACTCAAAAAGTTTTCCTCCTTTGTGGTGTATTTATGTGATTCACAGATTTGAAAGAGCACTTTAAAATCACATTAGAGAAGTGACAGAATAAAGTAAATCTCAGCCTGTCCTTTAATTATGGATCAGGTTTGAAAGAGGGGACGACACAAAGCAAAGGACCGTCGAACTTGTGGGCGCCACAGAAGACTTCAGGCTCACCCGATTGTGGCCCTACACGTCTCCTCGTCTCTCACTGTCATGCTTTATCTTTGCTTTCAATAAAAAAAAAGCTCGTAATCTAAAAAGAATAAAGTATTTCATAGAAGTCTGTGTGCCATCCTCCCACAATGCAATGCACCAAAAAATGTAATACACTGTAAAGCAATAGACTATGATCGGAATCTGAAATGAGCATCCAGATATCCAGTGTTGATCAGGCTTTAATCAATTTTTAGTGAACTGACTCAGAAAGCTTTATTTTGATACCCACTATGTCCTTTCAGATTAAAATGATTTTTAAATTTCCATCCCCAACAGGCCATCGAATGCATCACACAGGGACGGGAGCTGGAGAGGCCCCGCACCTGCCCCAAGGAGGTGTACCTGCTGATGCAGGGCTGCTGGCAGCGAGAGCCCCAGCAGAGGATGGTCATCAAGGACATCCACAGTCGGCTGCTGGCTCTGGTCAAGAACCCGCCGGTGTACCTGGATATCCTGGGATAAAAAGTGACCGAGAAGAAACCAGGGAGAAGGAATCGGAGGATTGGGAGGTTGGAGTTTTGATTTGAGACTTAAAAACGTCTTTCCTTTTTGTTCCGTTAGGTTCCTCTTAAAAGTCGACTTTCTCATTTATCCATTAAAAGACCAGTAGGAAGATTATTCCCCAGTTTTCCCCCAGTTGCTGCTTTTTCCAGCCTCGATGCTCGACGGACGGGACAAACAGCGTGCCGCCTGTCGTCCTCTGGAAACCTGTCAAATGTTTACCACACTGCTTGGATGTTCAGGTTTGGAGCCTGACGGAGGGACGTGCATGGCTATAAGTTGTTGAAGTTACAGTATATGATGATGCTAGAAGGCTCTAGGCCTCTTTGTGCAACTCAAAACAGATGATTGCAAAAGGAAGGAAGTTCACGCAGGAGTCAGCCGACAGTCATTTGTACAGTAGAGTCACTGATTTTGGACAAGTTTTGATATGGGAGGTGATTTAAAGGCTTTCAGTAAATGTATATACGGCCAAGTTGTACAATCAGAACCTTTGAAAGCTCGTTTGTTTTTCACGGGTCAGATCATATTGAATATTTTTCAAAAGCAAGAACGAAATGTATA